CTCCATAGTTTTCAAGAAAGGAGAGGTAATAGCAATGGGTCTAAATTTGACACATGCTCCAGTAGACGATTTAGGTATGGGTACAACTTTAATGTCTTTCCAAACAGCAGGCACAATATTACTGGAAAAAGATTTGTTAAACAGATCAGTGAGAGGGTAACATAGAATATCAGAACATTTTTTGAAAATAATACTGGGTACATGATCTGGACCTAAGCTCTGGGAAGGGTTCAGAGACTTGAGGCACTTTTGAACATCATTTGTGTTAAAACCTGGAAAGGGGCTATTATTAACACTAGTGATACTGGGAAGCATGGAATTTGAGGGGGAATAAATAAAAGATTTATTAAGAGTACTTACATCAGAAGAATACGGAATATTGTTAATCTGCTTACCACCAGTGATTTCCTTAAATAGTTTCCATATATTTGAAGCATTTTTGCAGGATATGAATTTCTGGCTATATATAACATTCAATCTCTGCATTTCAGACTTGATAAGGAAGTTAGTTCTTTTTACGCCACTTTTATCTTTCATTTTATATAGCTTTTCCTTCTCTCTACGAAGCTTTTTAAGTTGAGGGGAGGAGAAACGGTCGAATTTGACGAATAAAGTTTCTTTTGGGCAGCAGACTTCAAAACAGAATTTCAGATAAGACGTAATATTAGAGATTGTGTCATCAAGTGAAACATCATTAAACAGATCCCATCTTGTGTCACTGAGCATGTTTCTAAGATGTTGTACATTCTCATTTGAGTAACATCTGTGAACAACTTTCTTGGACAAGTTATAGAAAGCTTTTTTGTGTAACTTTCCGTAAACTTTAGGTAGAACTCGTACAATACAGTGGTCAGAGTTTGAGAGTGGAGCTCTTTTACGAGCTTCGTATATTCCAGAATCATTTATGAATACTAAATCAAGCGAAGTATCTTGTCGAGTTGGGAAGTTAACCACATTTTCATGACCCAGCAATGTAATAAAACTGTAGTCACTGGCGTTGAAGTCACCAGTTACTACAGACAAGGAGTTACCAATTACCCAATTAATTTATTGTCTAGTGTTTTGGGATAATTTCACAGCCTAGATGAGTTTCTAAAGGAATTCTCTCAGTTGTCTCGAAATGTGTCTGTATGGAACAGAACTTCAACCTTTGAATTAAACTTCTCCAAGTTATGAACATCTTGGAGTGCTTAGATTTCTGTAATATACTAAATCGTTTTCTGTAAAAGTTATTCTTTACGTCACTCAGAGCAAGGGTTTGGGTGTCTTTGTGTAAAGGCAGGTTACAAAAGTACCATCAACAATCTAGCAAAATGCTCCACTTGATCTAGTTCAGAATTACAGTCAGAAAACTTGGAAATTTGTCCGAATCGTTTATTTAACCCCTCCCCCCTCCCAACGTTTTTAAAACCCTATTTCAATTCAGATAAAAGATCCAGATTGATGACAAAGGAAAATGTTATCTTAATTATTATTTAGAACAACACATTTAAGTGAACGATATTGTTTTCAACGTGTTGGTGAACATCTCCCATCGTGGTTTAGTAAAGGACAGACAAAAACAATCCGTAGCTCAATTTTGTCACATTTAATTGATAGTGGTCATGTGGTGGAGAAAACGAGAGCCTTCAAAGTAATTCATCTTATCCCACCGAATCTTTCCAACACACTTCGTGTTCGTCTACTGCACACAACTGAGGAGATAGGCATTCGAACTATTAAACCTAAACTATGCATTCAAAAAACGTTCGTACAGCCATCATCCCTCCCTTGGTGTATTAAGACATAACCTACTAATGACTTCCACACCACCCCTTGTTTATATATTTTTCAACCGCTTTCTTATCATTCCTTAATCTTATCACATCTTCATTAAAAACGTGTTTCATTTACTTCCCTTACAATCTAGCATTACTCAGTCGGTTCATTTGTTTTTACTAGCCTTTATCGACTACTTCCACCTGAATAGTTGTTTGTTTAATCATGCTGTTTTTCATTATTCGTGTTTTCACAGATTGCCTCACTTTTTCATCCTTATTATTGATAAGACCATTTGTATTATTGCTATTATTATTAAGGCTGATGAGATCTAATTGAAAACAATATTGTTCACTTAAATGTGTTGTTCTAAATTTTACCATGGGAATATTTAATATATATTAATTATTATTGTTTAAAGACGAAATTCATGCTTAAAATCCTCAGTATCAGTAGTCGCTTTTGATATGAACTATTCGAAATAAATAACAAAGAAACTGCACATAGCATATTGACAAAATGTTGCAAATGGATGACTATTTTCTGAAATTAGCACTACTCTACAACATGCTGGGAGCAGATCACTTCCTAAGAAGCATTTCTCCGAAGAGCAGTTTACGCAATCTTATAGAGAGAATGATGTTTTAAGATATCTAAACACTGGCTAGACAGATTATTACTCACTCTCTCTACTTCGGCTATCTCCTACGGAAGGATGAGCCGGCTTCATGAACATCTCGAATCATCGCTGCCCAGGCGCGGCGATCTGATGAAGAGAGTTCATGAAGTTTCATGGGAATTTGGTACGAGTGATGTCCCCAGAATCGCTCGGCCTTTTGTTTGAGAGTGCAGCTCTAGCCTTTACACAACCAAGTGTGACCTACAAGGCAGTAGTAGTGGAGTAGGGAGTCCACTATCCATTGGCAGCCGGTGACCGGAGTTCGGTTCATGCGCCTTTTTGAATGGGGCCAGACATCCAGGAAATCCAACAAGCCCTTTGTCCATACGTCTGCCGGTGAGCTCCAGTGAGCTTCATACGCCAGTCGTTGGAGGTTTGGAATCAGGGTTTAACCATCTCCCCTAAACTGTCATCCAATAGACAGTCAACCCGGTGAAGAGCGCCGGGCACCCGCTTTCGCCCTCTCACTTTGGTGAAAAACACCTCCGCCACGTGAAGGTAGTGAGTAGGACTTCCTCAGGAGAGGCTATGTAAGACGCCTGGTCATATGGGAGCATTTCGAGAGGTGTGCGGAAGGGTGGCCAACCCACAAGGCACCCACCCCCGACCATCCTGAGGCTTTGGAGGCCAACAGCAGTTTACGCAATCTCATAGACAGAATGATGTTTTAAGCTATCTAAACACTGGCTAGATAGATTATTACATTGTGTAGATCTCCAGATGCCCTTGAGTGGAACACAAATCCAGAGTGACGGATCAGGTATCGAAGAATAACAGGCGGAAAGTTATGTGGAAGGGAAATGAAAGATTTTGAGCAGTCTTTTGAGCAAGTTGAAAGGGATGGTAGAAGTCCTAGTAAAAAGTGGACGTGCAGCTGGACTCCTATGATATATAGGAATGATTCAGCGAAGAAACTCTTTTCAACGAATTTATCATCAAGCTGTACAATCGTATATATATATCCGGTGAGGGAATTGAATCATAGGTGTGAATGCATGAAATAATAATAATATGAAATGCAATTAAAACTAAAATGTTTGTGATTATAATCGTAGTTAAATGGCAAGTGGCAAAGCAAATTAATGTCATATATAGAATAATTCATAGGATGGATAGAACTTGAAAAAGGTGTGCAATTATAAGATTAGTAGGCAAATCGAATAAAATAAAAACGTTACGTAATATTGTGTGAAATCTAATAGCATAGCATTTAATGTTGCATAAAGGAAATGATTTAGAATGACAAGTGGAACAAGTGAAATAATACCGGGGACAATTAAAAGTGAGAGTAGTAATAGTAATAATTGACGTAATAAGGAAGAGAATACAAAATGAATAGACAAAAATGAAAAAACGAAAAAATGGAGAGTTGGTAGAGCTAAAGTATGATTGGGGATTACCATACTTTAGCATAGAGGGATTAAGACCATGAAAGTTGGAGGGGTTGAACGAACTTTTTCCGTACACAGAGATCTGGCTTTTCTGTTTCGATAGCCAAAGCTTCAGCAATACAGATGAGTCGGGTACGTAGGGATTTGGGTAAATTACTCTTTGCCTTGTAGATGACTTTGAAGGCGGAGCCTATAGAGATAGGGTGATCATTATCGACCGCGCTTCTTATTGCTCCACTTCCACCCTCTTGGACAAAACTGGTGTCGAACGACCGATATACCTAGCTCCACACGAGCAGGTGAACTGACAAACACACATAGAGTTGGTCAACAGCGGGATCTTGTCCTTCAGGTTATTGAACAATAATGGTCGACTAGAAAAGGCTATTCTCTGGGATGCAGCAGGGAGTGTTCTTTTCAGGGACTGCGATATCCTTCGTCTCATGATATCGGAAGCTAAGTCCCCTTTGAATTCCAAGCTCATGTAAAGTATCTTCTTAGGTATGGTTGATAAATCGCATTTTTTAGGATTTGAATGTACATTCTTATCTATAAAACGTGGTGGAAATCCATTTTCTATTAAGATTTTCCTCAAGATGTATAACTCATCTTCCATAGTATCAGGGCTACATATGTGCCGAATACGAGTGGCAAGCGACTGGATCAGGTTTCGTTTTCGACCAATGGGTACCCAGCTGTAGAAATTTGTCAGTTGACCATTCCATGACAGCTTACGATAAATCGATCTTTTCAGAGTTCCGTAGGTTCTCCTTGATAAGTTCACATCGAGGAAATGAATGCTAGACTAGTTCTCCATTTCGAGTGTGAATTTTATCGCTAGATGGCAACCATTAAATACATTTAATATATTATTCAAGTTACAATCACTATTACAAATAATAAAGGTGTCATCTACATACATTCACACCTATGTTTCAATTCCCTCACCGGATATAACTTCTTTAAAAAAAACCATACATATACGATTGTACAGCTTGATGATAAATTGGTTGAAAAGTCTCTTCGCTGAATCATTTTTTTATTTTCTATATGTTACAATGGGACTTTTCCATGACTAATATATATATATATATATATATATATATATATATATATATATATATATATCAAAAAATATCACAGATGCTGAACAGTGAACGTGATAAACGAACCTTTAAATTCTCAAGTTCTTTTGTAACATCGTGTAATTCCAGATCGTCTTCATCATCATACAATGATATATGTGTCGACTGATGCATACTTATCACTGATTGCATAAAAATATTATTAACAGTGAATGAATGGACATGACTATCTTTAAAATTATTGATCACTGTCAACTAATCAATTTTCAGTATGACAAAGAAAGTATTCGTACAAATTTCTTCTAGACACACCTATTCAGTTTAATTAATTGGATTAAAATAACCTCGCCTAGATTACTAGGTCACTAGTATTCTAGCCGGTCCCAAGCCCGGATAAAGAGGGAGGGTTGGGGCGTGGTGCTAGCAACTCCACCCCCAAAACTTAACCAAACTGCTACAGAAACTTCAACGCACAAATATATTCAAAATTCTAAAAATACAAACAATAACCTTATTTTTCGCTGGAATCAGGGAAGTGAAATGACGCGGGCTGGTGAAAGCCTTCGGGAAGCCAGTCAGCCGATGTGCCTTCTTTCGATAAAAGCGAAAATAAGGATGGGGACGTGGAATATTCGTACAATGTACGAAACTGGAAAGGCTGCTCAGGTAGCCGCAGAAATGAGGAGATATAAAATAGAAGTGTTGGGAATCTGCGAGAGCAGATGGAATGGATGCGGAAGGTGCCAACTGCCAACTGGAGAGACAATAATCTACTCCGGTTACCCAGAGGACGATCACGAGCACACCGAGGGAGTAGCCATCATGATGTCACCAACAGTAGTTAAAGCTCTCGTGTAGTGGGAACCAATCTCCTCCAGGATAATGACAGCCAGGTTCAACTCAAAAGGAAAAAAGGTTACAATCATTCAATGCTACGCGCCTACAAACGTCTCAGAACAAGAGAAGAAGGAGGATTTCTATAGCCAAATACAAACAGTAATGGACAATGTCCCAAAGAGCGATATCAAAATCCTGATGGGTGACATGAATGCGAAACTGGGAGGAGACAATACAGGAAGAGAACTCACCATGGGTCGCGAGGCCCTCGGTGAAATGAACGAAAATGGTGAACTCTTCTCAGACTTCTGCGCCTTCAATGATTTGGTGATTGGTGGCAGTGTGTTCAAACACAAGGATATACACAAGGCGACATGGATTTCACCAGATGGACATACCAAAAACCAGATAGACTTCATTTCAATCTCAAGGAAGTGGAGACGGAGCCTACTGGACACAAGATCGAGGAGAGGAGCAGATGTGGGTTCAGACCACTATCTAGTACAAGGGACTTTCAAGCTGAAGCTAAAAGCCTCGAGGATACCTGGGGATAGGCCACAATGCAAGTTCAACACACAAAAACTGAAGGACACAATCACACAGGACATTTTCACTGCAACTGTCAGAGCAAGGCAGGAAACACTACGTGGCACCACTGAGGAATCATCCGTGGAAGACCACTGGAACTCCCTGAAGGTAATTTTCAACGGTTTTAGGAAGAAATAAGAAACAAGACAAGGAATGGCTCTCAACGGACACCTGGAAGTTAATAGAGGAGAGGAGAAAAGTGAAAGAGAAAATGATTCAATGCAAAGATGGACAAGAGAAAGAGATGCTGAGCTTAACTAACACAGCACTGGACAAAGAAGTGAAGAGGAATGCCAGGAAGGACAAAAGACAATTCTTCGATAACCTGGCTACTGAAGCTGAGAAGGCAGCAGGCAAAAGGGAGCTGAGGACACTATATCAGATAACCAAGTCTCTATCCGGGAAGAGATCAACACAAGTGAAACCTATAAAAGACAGCCAAGGGAACCCAATTACTAAAGAAGAAAGACAGATTAAACAATGGGCGGACCACTTCAAAGGACTCTTGAACCAACCACCACCTACAACCCGTCCAGAAATACCAACAACAGCACGTACACAACTGCAAGTTGACACCAATCCTCCAACGAAAACTGAAGTCGTGAATGCAATCAAGCTTCTGAAAGCTGGAAAAGCAGCTGGACCAGATGGAATACCACCGGAAGCACTGAAAGCGGACCCGGAGACGACAGCAAATATGCTGACTCCATTATTGCAAAAGATCTGGAAAGAGGGAAAGGTGACTACTGACTGGAGGAAAGGTTACCTCGTGAAACTACCAAAGAAGGGCGACCTAGGACTCTGCAAGAACTGGAGAGGAATCATGCTGCTGTCGACGCCAAGTAAAATCCTGAGTCGCATCATCCTGGAGAGAACAAAGGACGCACTGGATACAGAACTCCGACCAGAACAAGCTGGATTCAGGAAAGGCAAATCATGTTCTGACCAAATTGCAACTCTACGCATTATCATCGAACAAAGCATGGAATGGCAATCAAATCTCTACCTCAACTTCATAGACTTTGAGAAGGCCTTCGACAGCGTTGACCGCGAAGTAATTTGGAAACTACTCGAGTACTACGGCGTACCCCCAATATTCATCAACCTTATTCAACAGCTGTACGACAACGGCACATGTCAAGTGATCCACAACGGAAAACTCAGCCAGTCGTTTGGAGTAAACACAGGAGTCAGACAAGGGTGCTTATTATCACCAATGATTTTCCTAACTGTGGTGGACTGGATTATGCGTCAGACAGTGGGAAACGAGAAGACAGGGATATCCTGGACCGACGTGAAGAACCTAGAAGACCTGGATTTCGCGTGTGGATGATTTATGTTTGATGTCACACAAAATCGAAAACTTACAAGCGAAAATTAACAAACTGGTCGAAGAAGCAGCTGGAGAAGACAGGACTCCAGGTGAACATAGACAAGACGGAGGTTATGAAAATAACCAACCACCACCAACAACAACAACAACAGCAGCAACATCCAGCGCCAATCACCATCAACGGGAGGGATTTGAAAGAGGCTACTTCATTCACTTATCTAGGGAGCATTGTGTCGACTACAGGCAGATGGCATGGACGAGGATGTCAAATCGAGAATCGGGAAGGCGAGAAACACATTCATCAACCTGAAAATCTTCCGCTGTCACTCCTTAACATCAAAAACAAAATTCGGATTTTCAATACAAACGTTAAGTCAGTCACTTCTTCTATACGGATGGATCAGAGACTTAGTGGCGGGTCACAAAGAATATTTCCAACAGCCTGTTGCAGACTTTTATCAACAACTAACTGTCTTCGTTCTGTACTGAAGATCAGATGGCCGGAAAGAATCACCAACAAGAAACAAACTACGGGAAGAAACAAAACAAGAACCAATCGCTCAACAAATATGCAGGAGAAAGTGGAGATGGATTGGACACTCGCTGAGGAGGCAGCTGGGTGTCATCGCGCGTCAGGCCATAGGTCGAGTGGAACCCGAAAGGGAAGAGGCGAGTGGTTCGTCGGTGCAAGGGTGACATGGAGGGGATCGTGTGAAGGAGAGTTGAAACAGTATGGACTAACATGGATGCAAGTGAAAAGTACAGGAGAAGATAGAAGCAAGTGGAGACGTGTAGTTGAGGCCCTATGTTGCACTAGGAACCCAAGGGAACAATAATAATTGGATTAAAATGGTTTTTGATCCATGTAAAAAGAAAAATTGTTCAGGGCAATTATGAATGATTGGTGTGCGGCAGATAACTCAGAAAGTTTTGTTAGTGTTAATTATATGCTCAGTATTAACAAGATGATCAACGGGAGAGATTTGACAGAGGTTACTTCTCCTTCACTTACCTGGCATGGTTTCAACCACAGGCCGGCAGAACGGATGAGAGGTCAAAACCAGCCAGAACAGGAAAGGCGAAATACTCCTTCATCAATCTGAAACCAGTTTGCAAATATTTTTCACTCCGCAGTATCGAGAACAAGATTCGGATTTTCAACACAAATGTGAAGTCAGTCAGTTGCTCTATACGAGTCAGAAACTTGCACTGCATGTCATGAAAACGATTTCAGACTTTTATCAACAGCTGCCCACTTCGCTGCCTCCATACTGAAGATCAAATGGCCGGTCAGCCGACCAAAAAGTATTAACAACAAGAAACTCTGGCTGAGAACAAACCGACAGACGAGAGCCGATTGTTTAACAAATATAAAGGAGAAAATGGAGATAGATGGGGCATGCATTGAGGAAACCGCCGAATGACATCACGCTCAGTGCAGGCCATTGCTCCAGTGGAATCCAAATGGGAAAAGACTAGTGGGTCATCAATGCGAGGGTGACATGGAGTAGATCGTGTGAGTTGGAGGAGATGAGAGATTATGGGCAATCGTGTAGTCATACAGGTGAAGAGGAGAGGAGAAAAAAGAAGAAAGTGTAGATGTTTTGTTGAAGCCGTGATATATATATATATATATGCTATTTTTTATACCTTCACGTTCCCAGTGGAACATAGGGCTTCAAGTTAGAGGTTTGCAGTTTCTGTAGCAGTGCTCATTTTTACAAGATGGGGTTGCTAGCCTCATGCCCAACCTTTCCCCTTCATCAGCTTTATTACTGCTTTAGCGAGGTAAAGGAGTGCGCCGGCAGGGGATCGAACCCCGGACCATGTGCATGGTCGGCGAGCGTCCTAACCACTATGCCACCGACGCACGCATGTATATATATATATATATATATATCAAAACTGGGCTTCTCGCAATAGATGAACAGTTTTTTGTTAGGGTGGTGTTAAGTCAGTAACAGCTGTGGGTGTTACCATTAATATCCAAAAGTGTCAGATAAGCATTGATTCACTCAACTTTCTGGGCCACTCCATTAACTGTAAGGGTATTCACCCACTGGCTAGTAAAGTTTAGGAGATACTGAACTTTCCAGAGCCACAGACAGTGAAAAGTCTGTGCACTTTTAACGGCTTGGTAAGTTATTACTGACGCTTCGTTCCTAGTTGTGCTTCCCCGATTCAGCTACCAACAGACCTTCTTCGAGGGAATAACAAGTTCATCGAATTTGATGAGTCTGCTCAAAATGCTTTCACTCAGGTTAAAAAAAGCTATCGCCGATGCTGCCTCTTGATGTATCAGGATCCAACGGCACTGCTGAGTACCTCAGTTGATGCATCAGACACTGCAATCGGCACAATTCTCCAACAACTAGTCAAGAGAGAGTGGCAACCACTCGCCTTTTTCTTGTGTTGTCTACAATTAGCAGAAACA